GTGGACCCCATGAAGCATTTTGAGTTCAGGATAGTGTATCAGTTCACTATACTGCTGTTGTTTAGGACATTGCTGTGCTATTATTATTTGAAACATTGCAGTGGACTAAGAAACAGTAATATGCATAAAACAATATGGAAAATACTATGTTATACAATGTCATTTTTTCTGGCAATATAGAGGTGAACTACATGATTTTCTAATGCTCCCCTATGTTCTTTTATTCTAATGACATTACTCCAAATAGAACAGCTATTTCTTTCTTCCTGGTAAAAGTATGTGTATTTCTACTCCAGAATGAACAACCTTGTTGGGGATTTAGCTCAGTGGTTCCGCCACCTGCCTCACAAGCACAGGGTCCCGAGTTTGATCCCCAGTACCAAAAAAAGAGAGAGAGAGAGAGAGAATGCACAACCTAAACTAATTCACATATCAGAAATGTAATGCACCTTTAACAATACTTTTTTTTTTTGAGGTATGGGGAATTGAATGCAGGGCCTTCACACTCAGTTACAGTCCCAACCCATATATATATGTAATTTTTTATTTTAAGAAAGTTCTCACTAAATTGCTAAGGCTAGGCTCAAACTTTCATCCTCCTACCTCAGCCTTCCAGTGCTGTGATTACAGGCATCCACCAACATGCCCAGCAACAATATTTTTATAAGCTAGGCATGGTAGTGCATAACTATAGACCCAACTACTTGGGAAGCTGAAGTGAAAGGGGTGCTTGAGCCCACAAATTCCAGACCAGCCTAGATAACAGCAAGACTCCAACTCAAAAAAAAAAAATTTATAAAGTATCATTTTTAAATACAAAGATCTGAGCCATTTATGAAGAAATGGAAGAATTGTTATCCTAAGTATCTGATAAACCTGATAATACATTTTAGTAAGTCCACAGCCTTTTATCTATCAATCAGATAAAATAAATTAAAATAAGCATTAGTGGTGAAACAGCAGCACAAGGGTAACAAGTTTCACTCACGTGCAGCCAGTGTAATTTAAGAGTGTGCCAGGCAGAATGGCAGCAAGATACATGATCTACCCGGAAGCTACGGCTAGAAGATGTTAATCCCAACTCGGAAAATGAATCATTGGATGACCTTGGGAAATTTAAGTAGCTTAGTTTCTCTGTCTAAAAAGGCAAACTTCTAAAATAAATTGTTAGACTATGAGCAGGGCCAGTGGAGAGAGGGAAAAGACAATAATGAAGAGTGTAGAAGAGAAGGAGAGAAAACACACACACACACACACACACACACACAGGGAAGCTGCAAGACTGAAGGGCGCTGAATGATTACTCAGGACCATACTAAAAACAACTCGGTGGCTTTAGGAAACAGAGCCTAAGAATCAAAATAGAATAAGACAAGCAAATCGGACATCATTTGACCCTAAATAATTGCTTTGTTAGAGGTGGAGTTGCAATCACCATCCCTTCTTTCCGATTTGTGCAAAAGATAAAACGTGAACATCCTAACATTGCAATTCATTCGAGAAATTCATATCAGGCCTTGCCTCTGGGCCAGGCACTGGGAATCTGATGGTAAATAAGAAGTGTGGCTTCTGCCTTCACTGAGCCAGCAAGAGATACAAACCATAAGTAAACAAAATAATTCAAATTGGCAGGTAAATGCTATGAAGAAAGTGACAAAAGAGTCATATGAACATCTGCAGGATATAAAAGGGAAGAGTAAGAAAGGAGGTACAGCAAGTGCAAAGGACCTGAGGCAAGACTCACCTAGCACTGTTAAGCAAAGTTTATGGGAGGCCATTGTTCTGGACCTGCCTCCTGAACCAGGCCCCATCAGACCAAGCCAGAATGGAATAACTTGCACTAAGTAATTTAAACTGAACTCTGAAAAAGGCCAGTTTTCCAGAAACAGGAGATTCTCAGCTACCAGTTAGAAGAGGTCTAGTTTACCTGAGCCGGCATGATGAGGAAATCCCCTACTTTAAGCCTAGAGGGAAAGAACTTCAAAGTTACCAAAATGCTTTTTGCTCTACTTCTTTCTTCAGTCCTTTTGCCTATAAAGCAGTCTCCTCTGTTCACCTCACCAGAACATTCATCCTAAACAGTTTTTTTTCTGTAACATTTTTACAAATCTCTTTTTCCGGGGGAAGAAAATAGATTCTTATCCCAGCTTCTGCATGACAGCAAGTGTAACTGTGTGCTAGGGCTGCCATGCTAGTCAATGTGATCTTTCACTGAACAAGTGTGGCATGATTCTAGAACCACAAATAAAAGCTACTTCAACGTTTAAAGTAAATTTGTTGTGATTTTTGTCTTTTGACAGTGCTTGGATAGAAACAGCAAGGCCAAACAGGGTAGGAAAAATCGAGAAGGCAGTTCACAGTAAAGCGAGATAAAGGTAGCAGGAGGTCAAACTAAGCAGCTAAGGCCGTGGCTTTTACTCTGGAACAAACAGGAAGTTTGTAGCTGAGAAAGTTACACAACTGGTAGATTTTGCAACTAAAAGATTGATTACCTTAATTGTATTTTAATGTCCTTTTCCTCAAACCCAGGATTGGTTGATTTATTTACTTACTGAGATGGAGGTCTCAATGTGTTGCTCAAGCTGGTTTCAAACTCCTGGGGCTCAAGAGATCCTCCTGCCTCTGCCTCCCAAGTAGCTGGGACTATGGGCACATGCCACTATGCCCAGCTTGACCCCATCACTTTAAATGGCAACTTTTATTTTTTATCACAAAGCCAATAAGAATGGAGGAGAGGTGGCGTGGGATTATTTTGTTTTCGCTTTTAAAATATTTTTATTTGTAAAAAGATAACTGACACTATTCAAAAGTGACTTAAGGTTTTGAGTATAGAATAAGCCTCCTTTCCTCCTCTGATCTCAGCCATCCAGCTCCCTTCCCCCTCACTAGCCTCTTGTGTGGCCTTCAAGGAGTTGGGTTTCAAAATAACCTTCCCTTATGAATATTTATTGAGAGTCTAGTCCATCCCAGGGGCTGGGCTAAGTGACAGGGACCTAATAGACTAAGATGACATCTTTCTCCCTCGAAGTGTCTACTGCCTAAAGACACACAAAAGATTTTAGGGTTTGATTCACATGTATAAGAAAAAATTAGGCCTCAAGATAAATGAGGATAATTTTCATCTCCAAAATATTCATATTGTCTTTTGTGTTTTGGGGGGTTTTTTTGGTATCGGGGATCAAACTCGAGTCCTTGCGGTTGCGCAGCAGGCGGCAAAACCACTGAGCTAAATCCCTGGCCATATTGCTTTTAACACAATTTAAAAGCTGTAAAAGGCAGGAGAGCCAGGCAGGGCATTTAAAAATGCATTTTGAAATGATTTTCTATTCTAAATATTAAAAATGCCCTAAAATAGTTTGTTCTTCACTAGCCTAATCCCACTCAATCAAAAATAGTAAATTATGAGGAAATGTCTTAGGTTATTTTAGAAAAATCTATGTAAGGAAAAAACGTAGTCTCAGATGTGCCTTTTGAATTTTGTACTAAGTGAATCTAATACTTATTTTAAAATACATTCATATTTTAATTAGGGTACAGATTTTTTAAATGGGTTGAAGGTAAGCAGGGGTGAACAGGGTTGAAACTTTGAGCCACTGACTTCTTGCTCCAGGTCTAAATTAAATCACCTGCCAATTGAGGATGGCTCAGTTTTCTACCGCACCACTGGGCAGTGAGTGAAATGAACCAGGGCCTTTACCTTGACTCCCTGAGGAACACCTGCTCATCCCTGCACTCGCTCAAACATCACCTCCTCCCTGAAGCCTTCCAGGAAGGCTTTCCCAGCCAGGAGTCAGCATTGTTGTTCTCTGGGCTTCCAGGAAAAATGTCTCTAGCACTGTCTGTTTGTTTTGTCCTTCTTTCAGTCCCCCGCCCAGATGTCTCAGAGTTAGAAGCCTCGAAGGGTGGTCACCAATACACAATTAGGAACTCAGTAAATATTTGTGTGGTGGATGGTGGATGAATTACACTTTGCCTGTATTTACACGTTTTATATATGATTCTGCAAAGAATGTATGATTTGTCTTTCTATTACCAAATGGTCTAGGATTGTAAAATCATAAACAATGTAAATATATTGTTTAATTTTGAAAACAAAAATGTCTTTCAAAAACGTTCAATTCTGTTCGGATGTCTTTTCAACAAAAGAAAAAAATTTTTAAACAATTCTGGAGAAGTAAAGCTCAATAGTTGTTTCCTAATAATTGATCTACTTAATACTTCAAATGATGCAAGACAAACTCAAGTCTTCATGAGCTCTTCCCAGGGCTGGAGGGAAGTGTTTACGTGGAAGCCAGAAAAGGAAAATAAGAACCAAGAGAGGATAGGAAGGGGAAATAAAAACGATTAAGATGCGATACGTATATTTACCAATTCCTCAGGATGAATGTACTGTAATTATTATGCACCGCAAACATTTACTAATTTCTTCAAAAGCGAATAGAAAAAAGACGCCTGTATAGTTCCAGGCGGGGTCTGTTTGGCTGTTCTGGAACTTTTAAGAAATAAGCAAACTGTAAAAAAATAAATAAAATTTTAAAATCCCCCAACTGTCAACACTGGTTGAGGCCCTGAGACTTGCAAGCTGGAGTATTATTTCGGGGTCTCTCCTTCCGCACTCTTCTGTGCTTTAAATGCCCGTGGAGCCCTGAACTTCCACAGCGGTGAGTTGGCTCCGGTGCCCAGGACCCGCCCATGCGAACCCCACGCAGGCGCAGCGGCGGCGCGCGGCCTCCCCGGCAGAAGCCCGGATGACCAGAGCGCGCCCGCTCCGCCCGCCCGCTCCTACTCGCTGAGGAAGCGCCGCCGCGCCCGCCGCCAGCTCCATGGCTCAGCCCTAGACGCCGCAGGGGTCGCTCACTAGGACCTAACTTTACCGGAACCCGGCGTCCAGGCGTGCACGCTGCGGAAAAGAATTGTTGATGCATCGTCCCTCCGGGAGGCCTGCGGAGAGGCGGAAGTTGAGGGGGCTGCGGAGCTGGGGGAACTCTGTCTAGGTGGCACTTTCCTGTTCGAGACTCCGCCTCCGCCGGAGGGGCTCGGCTTCGAGATTCAAGATGGAGTCGCTGAGTCGAGCTGGGCAGGAAATGAGTCTAGCGGCTCTGAAGCAACACGACCCCTACATCACCAGCATCGCAGACCTCACGGGCCAGGTCGCTCTGTACACTTTCTGCCCCAAGGCCAACCAGTGGGTGAGTGAAACCTGTCCCCTGAGGACTCCAGCCCGGCCGCCGCCGCCTCTTAAAGGGACCACGCAGGCTGCCTGGGGTGGGGGCCAAACGGGAGGCCAGAGCGGTGGAGCGAGGCAGGGGCTGGCCCGGAGCCCAGCCGGAGCCTGAGAGGTGTCGGGGGCTCTCAGGATTGGGGGGAAAGAGCGAGCGAAGTAGTTAGAACATATCTCAGGAAAAGGCGATGGAGAGGAGAGTGGGAGCAGGATCAGTACCGGGAGTCGGGTTTGGGGACTTGGGCGACCTGTCTGCTTTACAGATGCACTGGGGGATTGAGACCGATGGGATCAAAAAGGTGCCTGCAAACTTATGTGTGAGGCTTTAAGGATTATTAGATAAATTACATATACATGATATGTAGACTAGACACCCCTCCTCTCACCCCAGCAATGTAAATGAGAGCCCCCTTCGCAGAGGTCATTTGGATTTGAAGCTTGAAATACAATTACTTTCGTTTCTTGGAAGAGAGGGGCTGTTGTCTGGCTTTACTCGAACTACATTCTATTTCCAGAGTTTTGGAAAAGATTTCAAGGCACTTAGGGAAAAGGCTTCAATGTTAATTGGATTCCCTGAAGGCTTTTTACAGGGAAAAGAGACGAGTGATGTCACCTCACCAGACTAAGTATTTTTTGGCTTTTGTGCACCAGAGGGAAAAGTTAGTCTGTTTACTGACTCGTTAGACCTTGCTTTGGAGCTTTGTTAGTTGTTTATATAATTTCTCGTTTTCCTGTAATTGACCTTTCCTAATTAAAACTCATTCAGCTATAGGCTTTGCACTTAGAAAATAATCCGTAAGCGTTCACTTGATTGAATTCATCAATGACTGGCGTTCGCATTTCAGTAAGAAATGAAATCATTAACAAAACTCTGAAAGGTTATCGTACTTTTTTTTATATAACATACAGCTGCATAGATTGCATTTATAGTAATTTTGTGAAAATCGTTTGGCATTTATGAATAGTTTATTCAGGTGACGTTTTCGTAATCATCTTTCCTTCACTTCTAGGAAGAGAAGGAGATGCCGGAAGCCACTAGAATAAAATTATGGATTGTTTTTCAAATATGACTTGTAGATATTGTCATAGTTTCAAGTGTATTAAATCACTTTTCTTGTTCTGTATGTAAATTTGTGCAATACGGATTGCTGACAAATGGGACTAAGACTTATTTATGAAAAGTTGTTTGGGGGAGGGTTGTTTGTTTTTTGGTTTTTTGAGGCAAGGCCTTTATGTAGTTCAGACTGGCCTTGGACTCATTATGTAGTCCAGGCTGGTCTCGAACTCGAAGCGATCCTCCTGCCTCAGTCTCCTGAGTACTGGGATTACAGGAATATGCCACCATGGCTGGCTCAGAAAGGTTTTACTTCTAATTTTTCACAAAGACTTTCAACATTTTAGAATTTTTTAATTGGGAAGTTCTGTTTTAAATAGGAAAGATAAGCTATAACAATCTGAATTGAAAAATAAGCCATTTGTTTGGATCATGGCACATAGTATATAACCAAAATCTTTTTTTCTCATCGTTATTTTATGAGTTGTAGCTGTGTGCTCTGTTTTGGGCAGAAATTTTCTTTTACTGTGAGACAATTATCAGTTTCTTATACTAACAACATTTTTTTTTTCTTTTTTTGGTACCGGGGATCGAACTTGGGACCTTGTGCTTTCGAGGCAGGCGCCGGAACCACTGAGCTAAATCCCTGGCCCACTAACAACCTTTCTTTTTTTTTGGTATCAGGGATCGAATTCAGGACCTTGTGCTTGTGTGGCAGGCGGCGGAACCACTGAGCTAAATCCCCGGCCGCAACTAACAACGTTTTAAAGAAAAAGCTTCTGAATCCTTAGGAAAGAAAAGTTTCATGATATTTAAGCTAAAGCAGTACTACTGGAAGAAATCAAGACAAGAATTTTTTTTATCCTAACAAAGTCAATTTGATATGACTTACATTAAAGTTTTGGTAGTTTTTTATTACAATAAGTATTAGAGGTACAACCCACTTTCTGGTCCCCCCTCTGTCTCTCTTAGAAGCTTTCTTTCTTTCAATAAGATTTTCCTCCTCTAAAGAAAAAGAAATATATTAGATCCATGGGCCGGCAATGTAGCTCAGTGGCACACTGCCTGCCTGGCAAGCATGAGGCCCTGAGTTTGAGTCCCGGTACCAAAAAACCAAAATTAGATCCAATCTGAACAGTAAACTGCATTGTAGGATTATTTGTTTTTTGTTCATTTTCACCCTTCAAAAATTTTTAAAACCTAAAATAATGACTTGAGATGGAATGTAATTTCAATATCCATGATTCTTCAACAGAGTTCTAAAAATAATAAACTGTTTTTGATAGTTTTTCTTACCTAACCACGAAATTAGTGACTACCAAAATCCCCCAGTGATGAATCAGTGTGTTGGATAAAAAAATTTCCTTTCTTTTTCTGTTAACTTTGGTAAACTTTAGAAGTGAAGAAATTAAGCGCAAGGACCCGAGTTCAATCCTTGGTACCCCCCCAAAAAAGTGAAGAAATTGAAATAGGACATTGGGTTTAAAATTTAGAAATCTAGCTAAAACATTTTAGCTTTTAAAAAGTTTAGGCTAGCCAAGTGCGCTGTCCCATGCCTGTAATCCCAGCACTTGGCAGGCTGAGGCAGGATTGCCAGGAGTTCAAGGCCAGCTTGAACTACATAGTGAAACCCTGTCTCCAAAAAAAAAAAAAAACACCAACAATAATGTTAAAGCTAATACTGTGATTTTTCACCTTTACTAGTTAGTAAAATGTAGCTACAGACATGCTGCTGGTTTGAGTGTTACACATACTTAGCATGCATCAGTAGCATAGCATTGGATAGATAAGTAAGAAACAGGTAACAGCAATTTGTAGAATGAGAGACTTGCTTCATCAGAACATGATTAATTTTACAGTAAATGTGTAATCTGGAACATGAACCATTTCTTCTCCACTGGGACTCTTTGGGATTGGGTTATGGGAGAAAAATACTAATTGATTCATTGTCTATTATAGGAGAAGACTGATATAGAAGGGACTTTGTTTGTTTATCGAAGGTAAGGGTATGTGTTGTGTGTTTGTATTTTTCTGGGTATAATGGTGAGGAGCTGAAGATATAGCTCAATATTAGAGTGCTTGTCAGCATGCTGAGGCCCTGTATTCAATCCTTAGCACTGCAAATAAATAAATAAAACATAATGGTAAGTAGAACCATGTGAAATGGTTCCTATCTGTTCATATTTTGTCTTTGAAACCCTCCTGCTTATCCCCCTTCAGTTTTTATCTATCCCTAGTTGTGAGATCCTAACCTAGTTATTTTTCTCTGATCCTTCCTTTGATTTAGAATAAACAGACTTGAATTTATTAAGAGCTTGCCAAAACCATTCCAAAATAGCATTTTCTAGTAATGAAGAAGTGAAGTAGATGGTTGCCTCCTTTCTGCCATGTTAAAAAGAAAATATGTATCTTTGAGGAACATGTATAGACTTGTTCTCTAAAGTAATGTGGTTGAGAGGTCAGGTCCTCTCTTCATGACTAGTTCTGCCTCCTTCCATCCCTCCCATTCCACATACCACCACCACTACCACCACCCAAACCCTGGCAAAAGTCCTGGATTATATACAGTGTCTTTGATAATATGTATTTTTAGTTTGAGAAGTTTTTTTTTTAGGATGCCTAGATTATTCACAATTGGACAATTTTTACTTTAAAAGAAATAATTATATTAAAATATAATTGGATTGCAACTTTATGCTGTAAGGGAATTTATAGAATATTATACTCATGGAATAGTGAATTCCTCTAAAGGTTTTGTTCAGATAGAGGTACGTTCTGTCCCTTGTGTTCTAGGACTTAAGGTGCCTGCAACAGTAGTTATTACTGTATCTTTTTTTTTTTTTTTTTGTATTAAGTCATCTTTTAAGGATTGCTTTTCTCCTTTGGTGCTGATTAAGATTTTTGTTGGCTGAGCTGGGGATTTAGCTCAGTGGTTCTGCCACCTGCTTCACAAGTGCAAGGACCCGAGTTTGATTTCCGGTCCAAAAAAAAAACCAAGATTTTGTTGGCTATCATGCCTTTTCACGATAGCCCACCCTTATGTGTAGGGTGCACTTCTTTTCCTACTTTGACTTGGCCCAAATTCTCTCTGCAGAGCCTATTTCTTTTCCTACCTTTAATAAAACTTTGCTACCATTACAAAAAAATTTTTTTTCAAATATTCTTCTAAATTTTAGTCTAAAGCTTTAAGATCTTTTCTAAACACTAATCTTTAGTATAAGTTCTTCGGTATTTATACACCAAGCTCTTCCTTCTTTGATACTGTGTTTTCTATTATTCATTTTCTTTTTTCTTTAAAAAAAAAGATGTCTTCACCCTCAACCCCTTCATTACTCTTTATTAACAGTGTAAATATCTAGAAACACATAACTGTTATTAGAACCTTAGTATTAGTGATACTTGGAAAGTACTTTACAGGCTCCATTGATTGTACAAATTGTGAGATTTAGTAGAGCAGTGGCTTGATTTAATCCAGTTCATGGAGGCTTATATGGCATTGGTTCTAATGAAAGAAGACAGGAAACTCTTTGGGAAATATAAGGACATTTTGTGTACCTGGGATAAATGTATACCAGGATATCAGAATATGACTGCAGGAATTAACTTAGTATAAATAAAGTATGGTTTTGGAATAAAAAAACTTAAAGCTGAATTCCAGGTACATTATTTGTGTTTACTTTGGACACAGGCCTGCATCATGCTGAACTTGTTTCTTAGTCTGTAGATTGTTCTCTTCTATGTATCCCACAGAGAAACAAATGAGAACTGTGAAGCATTAGATAACATGTGAGCCACGTTCAAAGAATTGTGTACTAAATCCCTCGATATAAGAACTAAAGCCATTTCTTATTGTAGGAGTCAAGTGATTTTCCATCTAACTCAGGAGAACTATATAAAAACCTATTTGTTGGGCCAGGGATTTAGCTCAGTGGTTCTTCTGCCTGCCTCGCAAGCGCAAGGACCCAAGTTCAATCCCTGGTACCAAAAACAAAAACCTATTTGTTAAGGAGAATTATTCATGTAATAGTGAGGAGTCATTACAGCCAATTCTGTAACATTTTAAATAAATGAATGAGGGCTGGGGATTTAGTTCAGTGGTTCTGCTGCCTCCCTTGCAAGTGCAAGGTCCTGAGTTCGATCTCCAGTACCCAAAAAATAAAATAAAATAAAATAAAATAAATGAATGATACTTCTTATAAATATCTATACTATGTGTCTAGGATACGTTTTTGAAAAAAAATAAGACAAAAATCTCATTTGCATGAATCTCATACAATCAGTATAAAACAATAAGTGGTGTGGTATTTTTGAAATGAAAATAAGATAGAAGATAACTTTTTTGCAGATTATAAGGTAATTATGGATTTTTCTTCTATTAAATCTAAGGTCAGCTTCACCTTACCATGGTTTTACCATTGTCAATCGACTGAATATGCACAATCTAGTTGAACCAGTGAATAAAGATTTGGAGTTTCAGCTCCATGAACCATTTCTTCTATATAGAAATGCAAGCTGTGAGTATATCCATTTATATTTAATATTAATGGGCTTTGGTTTCTGCACATTATTTTTGGAGTTCCAAATTATAATACAAAATATGGCCTATACTGCTTTTCACAATTGTAAATGAGTCTCTTGATGATATCCTACTTAACACTCTTGTATATAATAATGTACTGTTATTTCAGTTAACTATATATTAGCATTATATTTGCTTGTTTTATGAAAATAAGTTTTACTCCTTATTTTAGTACTGAAATAAGGAGCATTGAACTCTTGGCTGCCCATGCCCCTGCCAACAGAACTTAGTTTGGAAGAAACAGACAGAAGCAAACACTGACACTTCTTTCCACAGAGAAAGTACTGTCTTGTCCTGCACAGTGATATTTTTAAATTTTGTTCAATTGAATGACTACTGGATACCTATACTGTGCCCATGGCTGCTGTGCTCTAATGTTAGAGATGCATAATTTGGGGGGGGGGTCCTTAAGTTAACAGTGACTCAGACAGATGAACACTCACTTGGAGAGTGAGGGTTGTAAATCTTCCTGCTTCCTACTTCAGGGTCTTTTTGGGCATTTTATAGGCTTTAATAATGATTAATGTCACCAAAACTAGGGTAGCCCTTTAAAGAAAGTACAGTACAAATGTTCCTCAACCTACAATGAGGTTACTTCTTGATAAGCCCAGTGTATGTTACAAATGTATTTAATATACCACCATATATTATAGCTCAACAGCACAGTACACTAGAGGTTCAGTAGTTTCTGTCCCCTGTGATCTCATGTCTGACTGGGGTCTATGTCTGAGTGCTTCTGCCCAGGATCACAGGAGAATGTCATACCATACATCACTAGCCTGGGAAAATTCAGAATTCTAAGCACAATTTTTACTAAATGCACATCACTTCTACACCTTTGGAAAGTCAAAAATCTGAGTTGAGGGCTGGGGATTTAGCTCAGTGGTACTGTGCCTACCTTGCCAATATAAGGTCCTGAGTTCAATCCCTGGTACCAGGAAAAAAAAATCTAGGTTGAATTGTGTTAATAGGGAACCATTGAGTTCCCATATTTCAGTATGGGTATTAAAAATACAGATATTGAAGACAGAAGGCAATCAGTTTGTTTTGGCATTGACTTTTGGGATATTAGAATTTAGTAGTGGTAAAGCCATTATGCTCACCTAAGGATATTGTTGGAGAAAACTTAAAAAGTAAAAGTTATTGTGTTTGCATTTCATTGGTTGAAAAGTAATTAGTATTGGGGCATGCCTTTGTATAAAATATAAAAAGCTAGCCAGGTATGGTGGCAGATGGCTGTAATCCAAATTACATGGGAAGCTGAGGCAGAAGGATCACAAGTTAGATGCCAGCCCGGGAAATTTAGTGAGATCCTATCTCAAAATAAATTAAAAAACAGACAGGGCCGGGGATTTAGCTCAGTGGTTCCACCACCTGCCTTGAAAACGCAAGTTCCCGAGTTTGATCCCCGGTGCCAAAAAAAAAAAAAAAATTCAAAAACAGACTAAGGATGTAGCTCAGTACTTGCCTAGCATGCAAAAGGCCCTGTGTTCTCCAGGACTACTAAGGGGCGTGTGTGCGTGTGTGTGTGTGTGTGTGTGTGTGTGTGTGTGGCTATTAATTGTTTTATATGTTCTTTAATTTCCTGAATCTGGAGGCCCCAAATTCTTCCTCACTCATTTTTAAGTATCTAAGTGAAATAGAATCTATCTCCTTTTGGTAAGCTGTTTGTCAAATAATTACGTCTCAGATTTAAGTTCTGTAGACATATTGGATATATTTTCTAATGCCTTTAAGTTTAGATGGATTTTGTTTAAACTAATATTAACAGCTGAATTATTTCAGATGGCTATTTTCTTTGTGCTGAACATTCCACTAAGGAAATTCTGCAAGGGAGCACAGATTTAATATTTTTTAAAAGTGAAGTTGGCTTAATTCTGCTTCTTACTGCCTAGAAATTTAATTTTGCCATTTCTCCTAATAGTAAGAAAAATGATCAAAAGACCCTGGACCTAATTACCATTTAGCAAAAGTCTGAAGTAAATTGTACTTCTTTCACCAGCAAAGGAGCCTGTGAAATTGAAGTGTGACATATAATTGTACCATGGTTAGCCAGAGCCTAACTTTCCAGGGCTTCAGCTATCTGTGAATATTTCTGTAAAACCTGTAGAACAAATGAGAGCAAATTGTAAGAAAACAAACTAATACTAGGTTTTATTTTGTGAAACTCTAGTAGATAACAACTAATCTGGGAACAACATAAACAGGTCAGTATCCTGTAACTTTAACCCATTATAGTATCAGACTTTGTTGCAGTGAGACCTTAAATCATCGTATTTATTATTATGTTAATTAGAATATTCTTAGGGAGAAATATATATTTTCTTTTAGAAAGATCTTCAACAAGTAGTAGAAACAAAGATTTCCTTTGTTGAACAGAAAACTCACTAAACCAGATCATTCCATTGGGGAAAATATTTGAAGAAATAGCTGTGTTGGGGAAAAGTGAAAAGACAGCATGCAGTGATTTAGGGAGTGGTAAGCCCTCCCTTGAGTATGTGTTTTCTTGGCCTTGTTTTAAGAGTAAAACATAGACTTGTTAGGTCAGCAAGCTTGTGAGTTGTTTAGGGATTTGTTCTTTGAATAAAAAGTTACTGTCTGATTGTGTATATGAGTAATTATGCCTGATTCTGTAGCTATTCTTTTGTCATGCTCCTGTGAGAAATATCACCAAGACACCTGACCCATTTAACTACCTTCATATCCAACTTCTTGTATTCACATCAAGTTGTAGAGTTAATGTAATAGACTATTGAACTGTAACTTGTTTTTTTTATTTTTTGTTTCTTTTTATTCATACAAAGTACTCACCTGCCCACTGTACTCCTAAGAAAAAGGTAAACATCTCACTGAGAAAATAATTTCATTAACCAAGGGTTTAAGTTTGGGAATTCTCTCAAATCTTTCAGAAACCCTGTGAATTCATTCTGTACACGGACCTTTCAGCAACCTAAAAAGGCTTCAAATAGGGCTTCAAAGAAGAGTGGTATGTAGTTATGTAGTGATTATGTAGTTATTCAGCAATTATGATGTTCCATCACCTTATTTTTGATTCCCAACTCATAGAGGAGACAAGAGACCCAGAGACATAGAAACTTGCTTACGACAATCCCCAGTACTGAAAAAAGAAAGAAACTTGCTCACGAGTCATAAAAACAGTAAATGGGAGATACAGAATTAAAATCTAGGACTGTCAGTCTTCAAAGCCAGTATTCTTTCCATGTACTGCAACAATAAAATTATGTAATTTGTCAGTCCATGTCCTAGAGCAGTGCTGTCAAGTAGAACTCTACAATGATAGAAAAGTTCTGTATCAGTACTTTAATAATAGCCATCAGCTACAAGGGGCTAACTAGGAAGTACTTGAAATGTGGCTGCTAGTATAAGGAATGGTATTTTTTTACTTTAGTTACTTTATTTGAATTTATGCAGCCATATGCTCTAGCAGCCATCATAATGGACAATGGAAGTCTAAAGCATGAATCTAACACATTCTTTGTTGTGCCTTGACTGAATGGAATAACCACTTGGGAAGCTATGTGTTAGATTTTTATGCCTCTCAGTTAGTCATTCCTTTTTGAAACTTATAAATGATTTCTAGATAGAAAAGCTGTAGAAAATATATCTGAGGATGCTTTTGCTATGATAGCACTTTTTTGGCATGGAATTTGGTTTGTAGACAAGTACTCTATTCTAGGCTTGGCCATTTTACTAACCTTGGATAAATTACTTAAAACACTTCTCTGACTTGCTTCTCTCAGAAGGGAATCACAAATATAAGATATTTTATCAATCAGATACCTTATAAAATATCATAGACACCATCTTCCTCCTAGACTGAAGCCGAATCTTGTTAGTGAAACAATCACAGGTACTTCAGTAGTGCAATACACAGGTTCTTTTGTAATGCAGGCCTCCTGTAGTGTGCATCTTCCTATTCCTTCTGACTACTATAGCCCCATAAAGGCAGAGGACTTTGTGTGTGTGTGTCTGTCTGTCTCTGTCTGTCTGTCTTTCTTTAATGCAATGCTAGAGAGATCAAACCTAAAGCCTCAAGTAACCATTACTACAAACCTAGGCAAGCACTCTAACACTTAGCTACATCCCCAGCCCTCTAAACTTGTTTTTTTTTATTCTCATTTTTTATTAGTCCATGCTTGCAGGATGTATTGATGGCGCTTCTCGTGGGGAGTTGGCACATTACATGACACATCTTAGTTCTTTCTCCATCCTCTCCCCCTTCCTCCCCCCTCCCTCCATCTCTTGGTCCCCCCTCCTTTTGCAAGAGATCTGTCTAGCTCTTTATTTCCTATTATCTATCTTTTATTTTGCTCTTTATTTATATTTTGGTTTCTCCTATAAGAAACCATATGATATTTAAGCTTGTGTATCTGATTTATTCCACTTGACACTGTAGTCTCAGTTTGCATCTGTTTCCCTACAAATGACTCAAGTTTATCTGTCTGTGTGGCAGAGTTGTACTCCATTGTGTGTAAATGGCACATTTTCTTTATCCAGCCATTTGTTGATGGACTTATAGGCTACTATTATGAATTGTGCCCAACTCTTGAACTTCAAAATAAAAATAAATCTGGACAGCCAGGCATGGTGGGCCTCACCTGTTTTCCTAGCCATTCATGACTCTGAAGTAGGGGGACTGAATTAGGTCAGCCTGGACAACAAAGCAAGACCCTATCTCAAAAAAGAGACTAGGGTATAGCTCGGTGGTAGTGCTTGCCTAGTGTGAATGAGGCCCTGAGTTTGATCCCCAGCACTGCAAATAAATACATACATACATGTTATACACAGACACACACACACACACACACATACATACGCGAACAGAAGCCATTCTGACCAGTAGGTCATGGCATTACAAAGATCTTGATGCATAAACAGGCACATTATTACCAAGCTACTAATCTGTTTTCACTT